AGTGATAGCGAGCAGGTTTAGAATGAAAAGCCAAGCTAAGCAAAATAGGATTATGATCTGATGCAGCATGATTAAGATGTTTGATATGAATAATATTATAGTAGCCCATAAAAGAGGAGTTTCTCAGAAATCTATCCAGTCTCTGCATAAGAAAACGCCTTTGCCAAGTATAGGGGGGACCCGAGAAACATAAATCATAAAGGCCAGCATCCGCAATATGCTCCCAAAAACGGTTGATAAGGCTTGTATCAACTTTAGCACCACCCCTTCTCTCCGAATGAGACATAATCATATTTAGATCTCCTCCAACGAACCAGTTATCAGAAATAGTAACACCCATTTGAGTAAGTTGCTGCCAAAGAAGAAGTTTGTCCCGTAATAAAGAGCTGGCGTAAATGAAAGTGGCCCAACTATTAAAATTCTCCATCTGATAATGGATTAGAACATATTGCAGATTATCATCAATAATGTTGAGAGTGATATCATTTTGTCAAAAAAGCAAAATTTTATTGTTCTGATTACTATAATGTGTGTAACCCTTGAATTTCTTAATGATATCATCTTTATGAACTAACACAAACGGCTCCAAAAGAACAAAAATGTCTGGCTTATGGACCCTACATAAATGCCTACATAAATTAAAGGAGTATGGGTCCGTCACTCCTCTAATGTTTCATACTAGAATGTTAAACATTTTGGCCCATAACACCCCCCTCCTAGCAAACCTAGGGGGAAGATGCAAGTGCTCACCCTCAGAATGATGTGTGACATCAATGTTATTTGACTGTGTCATATTTGGAACTTCTGATTTCCTTTTGCCTCTTTTCCTGCTATATTTCTGAATTGTCCATTTAGATTCTAAAGCCACGACAACCACAGTAGTTGGGTCAAGCGGTGGAGTAGTAGCAGGTAATGTAGTGTGTTGTGTAGGTAGTTGTGGGGGATCCTGAACCGCAATTTGTTCGGCCAAAGCACCAGGGAGCTGAGCCTCAAGTTCCTGCGTGGCAATAAGCTCCACATTTTCTTCAGCTCTCTCAAAGGGCAAAGGGCCCACGTGTGCTACTTCATCAGAATGAGCAGCACTGGTTGCCTCCAAACAGGGAGCAATTTGTTCAACAATTGTTTCAATAAGAGGAGTTCGAAGGACAGATTTCTGTTGAACAGAGGATCTACGTCCAGAAGTAGCTTTCCGCAATTCAGGGTGTAAGTGAAAACAGTGTGTTGAATTATGTCCAAACATACTGCAGTGCAAGCAGTAATGAGGATTTTTCTCAAGAAACACCTGTTGCCAATATCCCGTATGATTAGAACTAATCCAAACCTCCTCCGGAGGGGTTAAAGTAACATCACATTCTATCAAAATTCTAGCCATTGAAGACCTTGTTAAGTTAAAAGTCGGAGCATCTAGCATTAACGACTTACCATACATAGCAGCAATAGAAAACAAAATTTCATGATTTAACAAATGCGCCTTTAAACCCGGAAGTCGAAGCTAGACAGGTATTACAAGCAACTCAGTCCGAGAATCAAAATTGGTTGTCTATTTGAGGACTTTCATCCAAACATCCCCAAAATGTATTGTTCTTCATTCAAAAAGTTTAGCATAGTCATCCTTGTTAAAGAGCTGAATCAGAATATGCATGCTATCAAGAGCACCAATCTTCCAACCCCCCAATAAATTCAAGAGCTCAAATTGTTTCAGCATAAAATCATATTTAGGAAGCTCATATAGGAACTTACCTGCAAGATGAAAACGACAAGCAGAGCAAGAATGGAATTTTCAGTGTCAGAGAGGAAAAGCGCAAACTTACCCCCTTTCTCCCTTGAGACTTAATGAAGTTGTATTCCCTGCCAATAATAAGTGATTCATGAAAAGAAGAAGGAAACGCAAACTTCGGAGGAATACCGGAGGAGGAACCCCCGGCAGTGACGCTTGCATACGTCTTCGCCATAGACAGCGAGAGAACAAAGAGACGAGAAAAGAAGACGAGAACGAAGGAGAAGCCAAAGCCAAAAAATGAAAGGAAAGATCTCATCGGAGTTCGACCGTCGAGAGGGAAGACACGGCGTCAACATCTCAAAATCGCCTCCCGATCGCCAGCGATTCCAAACTCTAGCGGAGCGCACGAACCGTCCATCATATAGTGTGTGTGTGTGTGTGTGTGTGTATAGTGGAGTTCAGAAAAGTTCAATTAAATTTGAACGTGATGTTTTCTAATTTTATCACACATTAAGAATTTTGACTCCAAACACAACCCAAAATCTTTCACTTTTGAATTGGCTTGAAATTATTGTGTGTAGGTTGGAAATCAAGAAATCAAGATTCATAAAATATGTCTAGGAAAAAAAAATATACATTAGGTAATTATCCATTAAAAATTAAAATGCCTGTATTTTTATTGACATTTCAAGATATAAATTTTTTTAGTAGAAAGTACAACAACAATAAGTCTTTATTCCACTAATAAGTGGGGTTGGCTGCACGAATTTTTTTCCTCCATTGTGTCGTATTTAGTGTCACATTCTCATTTAATTCTAATAAATTAAGATCATTTTTTATACAATATGCCCAAGTTTTTTTAGGTCTGCCTCTGCCTTTCTTAACACTAGTCGAATCTAAAACATCTACTCCCCTAACCAGATCATAAGATGGTCGACGTTTAATGTGACCAAACCATATAAAACAACTCTCTCTAATCTTTTCTGCCATTGAAGCTACACCAATCCTTTCACGGATATATTTATTTTGTTTTTTGTATCTTAAGCGTAAAGCCAATCATCCACCTAAGCATTCTCATCTCAGCAACACTTAACTCAGTTTTATGCTTCTCTTTCAGTTTTATGCTTCTCTTTTACAGTTTTATGCTTCTCTTTTATAAACCAACATTATGTGCCATAAAGCATTGCAAGTCTCACCAACATCTTCTAAAATTTTCCCTCAAGTCTAAGCAATTCTTTTCTATTACAAAATAGGCCTGATGTATTGCTCCACTTCAACCATCCAACTTGAATTCTACTAATAACATCCTCATCTATATCACCTTCACTTTGAACAATAGACCGAAGATATCTCAAATGTCCACTCCTTTCAATGATTTGATCACTCATTGTTACAACTTCACCACTAGATTATCTACTACTAAAAGTACATTCCATGTATTCAAGATTAGATCTACTCAAACGAAGACCTTTAGACTCTAAAGTAAACCTCCGTAATTCAAGTTTTCTTGAACTCTTTCTCTAGTCTTATCAACAAGAAGGTTATCATCGATGGAAGCTAGCTGATACAAAAAATTAATCGGTTCCTAGATTTAATTTTTAATAAATACGTCGTTACACTCATATATAAAAGAAGATAATTGAAGCTTGGACAAGCAAAATTGCAGTTAGAAGTCAGCTGTGTTTTTTTAGTCAAAAACTAAAATACGAGAAACCTTTTGAGGGAAGATTTGTATAAGTTGATCGACAATTATACCCATATTATTTGCTCATTTCCTCCAAGAATCTGAGGACAGGTTTGGCTTCACTGTTCTCGTTTTTAGGAACTTGTGCGGCTGTGTAGGATGCCAATGCGTGGAGGACTTATCTAAGTTGGTAGAAGTCAATTTACTTTCATAAATGCGTTTTTATTACTTTTAATTTTACCTCTTTACTGAATGATTTATTTTTGTGCACCTATTCGTTATTGTTCTTTAGAAGCACCGAAATTTATTTGGTGGATGGTCATATTTAAATTAGTTGTGTAATATGAGTAGATTTATTTTGTTGCTCTAGTCTTTTTTGCATTACGTTAATGTTGATTATTTCAGAAATTCTTATTTCTTATGTGTTAATTATTGTGTCATTCGTGGAATCTAAGCATTATAATTTTATGAGATTTGATAAACTTTGAAAGACATTTAGAAAATACTTGGTAGTTTATTCAATCCTTGATAAGAGAAGAAATTTTTACGTCCGTACATAACATAATGAGAAAATTCGTACATCACATAATGAGAAGAATTTTATGTCCGTACATCACATAATGAGAAGAATTTTTTACGTCCGTACATCACATATAGAGGTATGTGTGGATGTACAAGATTACACAGCTGTGCACTTCATTATCGACACAACTTTACATTGTGACATCCGAACATAGTAATTTCTCAAAAGGGAGAGCAAACAAGTGTTTGATAAGCTGAGAATGAAGCTAACAAAGAAGATGACTTAATGTAATCAACAAGAAGAAGGTAGCCACTCTATTTTGTCAGGACTCTAAAGTCTAAAACCCAAACTCATATACTGGTACTATATTTTATTATCCAATTGCTGTAATTAAAAAGTTTATGCGGCCATGATCAGAAGCCATGTGCTGGGAGGAAAAATATTCAACCTGACTTCAAACCAAGAACCTCTCAATTAAATACATAACAGGCTTCCAACGTTGTCTTGCTAACTATCATTTTTAGAACTGTAATATTTTGAAAATATTTTTTAGATGATTCAATAAATTTTAGGCAGGCATGTTTAAACTCAAAATCAACTGGAAATATGAGATTTGAGCTAGGAAATGTATATCATAATTTATTTTAATTGAGTTCAATCAATTCTAATCCAACTCAAATTTGGAACTAGTTTCAAACTGAAGTTATTCTTGTCACCCTTATGTGTGTGCATATTTAAATCCCGGGAAATATTTCAACTCTATCGAGAATGCTGGAGTGCAGAAAGAATTGGAAGTCTTGGATGCATTTTGAAGCACTTCATTTCATAGCTTTGCTAATGAATGAATTTTCAGAGTATATATTTTATTGATGAATCAATCACATGATTATCTCAGCATCCTTCAATTTTGAATCTTCAGTAACTCTTTTTTTTCTTTCCTTTCCTGCTCTGAAAAAGCCTTAAATTGCTGGCACCTTTGTTAAGTACGTTATCTTCTTGTCTGCAAATCAGATTATATTGGTTCATATTATTGCCCATCTTTTTAAAGATTTTTTTTTTTATTCTATGAACAGGGGGCAAGCATATTGGTGGTTGTACAGGTATGAACACTTCCCGCACTTATTATTGTAAAGTTTATGAAGCTGTCACAATTGTTATTTTGCTTAGATAACTGGCCTGTCTTGTTGAAATTTCATTCACTTTCAACAATGCCCCACTACATAATGTGAATAATAGAAAAGATTCTCTCATATTAAATAAATGGAATGTCTTCTTAACACTGGTTGGACTTCTGTGGAAGTCCACTATAGTAATCCATCTCTACTTGTACGTTTCAGCTCTCCATGCTTAAATCTTGAAGAAGAAGTGTCAAAGTGCTCCCTTGGCTCCTTATAGGGGTTCATTTTACTCCCCGAGTCTATAAAAGTGCGTTAGTCCCAACTCCTTTATTGTGGGCCAAATTATTACTCCCTAAGAACTATTTCGACCAATATTAAATGAGTTCATGGATTAGTTCAACCTTTTATAGACTTTGGAATTAAAAGTTCCATATAAATAGTCGGGATTATTTGGGCACTTCACTCTTAAATCTTCCATTCTTATCAAAAAAAAAAAAAGAAAAAGAAAAAAAGAAGGAGAGAGAGTTTAATTGTGACAGTAATTAGGTTTCATCTTTGTTTTGATGCAGATACTGTAAAGCTTTACCGCAAAGGAGAACTCACTCCCATGCTATCAGAATTAAACATCAGCACAAAGAGCTTGCAACAGCCTTAGCTGAACAGTCCAGGTTTGCAAAGCCGTTCTATCAAGGGGGTGCTCATATGTATTGAATTTTCATTTATTACCTTTGTATGGTGTAAGCTTTTACTTCTATACATTCAAACTATTCCATGCTAATCTTATTGTTCAGCTTTCTCAAATATTGTTCAAGTATTATTGACTGTGCTTTCAGTATTCTATCTTATTATATCAGGATAAATTGGTAATAGGTGCCACTGGTTGCTTCTAGTCTTGGATTGATATTTGGAACATATTTTGATCTCAAATTTGATTAGTATGCTGTTTGGTTTATATTTCTTCTGTGTAAAGTAATATAAAAAACAGGGATTTTAAAATTTTCGTGTTTGGAATGGTACAGCGGCAAAGTAAAATAGAAGTTATGCAGAATTAGATTTTACTCTGATAGTCAAAAAACGCCGCAAAGTAAACTCACCCACCCAATTGTTGGCATAAAATCACTTCACCACACATGGTCTTCTTGTATCTCCCCACGTTATTTGCTATATTTCTACTCTTTTGCTCGTTGTCGAGACTTCCACATTCAATTCTCCTTCTGTCCTTCATCTAGCTTTGCCTAAGCTGCCGGTTGATCTTTGCCGAGGCTGCTGAAGGTACATTATGTTTACTCTTTTCATCTTTTTCATATTGCTCAACCCTTTCTTCTGATTATTGTTCGAGTACAGATATGACGTCTGAAGTAAGGCTTCCAGTTTCTGTTATTTTTAGGGTGCTCTTTGCCGTAATTGTTCATTTCCGAAATCCTTGGTAATTTTCTTATTGTCTGCATATCTTTTGCCCGAATTTAGAATGGAGACAGTAGGTTTGATCATCTGTTGTTAGGGCTGGATTTTCAGGAGAAAATTTTGCGTAGCTACTTAACGGACGATGGACGCAATACACTGATGAGATTTTTTTTTCCGCCAGCATATCGTGTCCGTCGTCCGTATGTAGCTCGCATACGAACGTCACACGCAAAACTTTTTCACAATTCAGAGGGGGATACATTTTAATTTGAGGCTGTTTCGGCAATTAGAATGTATTATTTGTAGGTCATAAAGTTACAATTTAATCATTCTTATAGGCCACGATTGGTTTATGCAAGGCAAGGCTTTTATCATCAATGGAGTACAGTAGTGAAACATTTACCAACTCACAGAAGTCTACTTAATTAGCATTTCTGCATGCTATGCATTATGAAATATCAAATTTATACTTTTGTGAATCCACAACTTCAACAACAGAGCTACAGGTGGAAGAGTGAAATGTACAGTAATATGTTGCTATTAGTGATTGATTGTGCATTTATAACTATAAATTAATCATGCGGCCTTGAATGGGATGTCTAGAGAGAGTTTGCGATTTTTATGTTTTATTTTGATTCACAATTCACTTTTTACTTCTTATGAGGATGTTTTGTCTGCTGAAATTTTCTGCACAAAATATTATCATGCGAGCAAATGTCAACTTTTTTTTAGTTTGACTATGTATTGCTATGTTATTACTACATTTGTTTTGGCTGAGTAAGAAGTTACAGTGGTATATATGTAAAATGATAAATTTAGGTGTTGGGTATGTAAATACATAGAAATTGAGTGGTATACATGTAAATCTTTTTGTGCTCTTTTTTTTCAAATTAAGAATTTACTGTTGCTATTGTTTTGGTTATGAATCGCTCGTTGACTTTCTAAGCTAACAAAAGTAGGTAAACTAAGACTGCTGTTTTGGAATAAATATTAAAAACATTATTAAAAATAATTTATTTGTATGATATGATATATTAATTTAAAATATATTTTATTATAAATTTTCTAATAAATATTTAAAATAATTTATTTATATCTACTTTCCAGAATCAAATATTTTGAATATTCTTTTTTTACTTTTATATAACTAAATAGAATATATACATATATATATATATATATATATATATTTATTTTACAGAACCAAATAGCATTTCAAAGGCATAATATATTGATTATAATACATTACATTTTATTTTACTCTGTTTTATAGTCAACTAAATATCCCTTTAAGTTTATTTTGAGATGGCAATTATATGCATTTTGATTAATTGCACGTTCATTAATGACTTCAAATTTATCCAAATGATAATTTTACCAATATATGGACCCATAATTTCTTCATGGTAAAAATTATTCTAGGCCAACGCATGTGATTGTATGGTCAAAGAGACTTGCAGTCATTTGCTTATGGCAGAAGAAATCCTAGAGAGGAATTTAATCAAGTAATTGTCTAACCAAGGTTCCTTAAAAATTGTGCCTATTAGTAGTGTATTGGAATGGCCTTAACACAACCAGAAAATAATGGAATCTATTTTTATAAACGATGTGCATTTACATGTGGGCCCGCATGCATATTTGTTGTGTTACATTTAAATACCTAAGAATTAGAGAAATATTTGCGTACGTCTAGCGTCCGCAGAGCTGCACACGTCGGTACGTTACAGGAGGGTATTAGGGGGTTATATTGGTATTATATCCTATGTAACATACTGTAATTAGTAAGTTCTGTGCTTCTGTTTTCATATATTAAGTTACAGGTTACAGGAATATAACGCGAATATAACCCCTCAATACCTTCCCCGTAACCTACCGATGTACACAGCTCTACGTACGTTAGACGTACGCAAATATTTCTCTAAGAATTGACTTCAGAAGATTTCTTCGAGAGTTTATCCTTTTATATCCTTGGTAATTTCTGAGATAAAATGATGTGCTCAAATGTTTAATATGCATTAAAAATAAATCTGATGCATGACAGAAAGCCGTTCTAAACTCACATTGAAACAATTAACAACCGCAACAACTCCAATAATTCCTGAAAGAATAACATGATCTTGGAGACGGGTCATTAGGGGGCCTCCATTTGGAAAAATTATTATGTCCAGTGAACCACACGTTTAGACAATGGCCATGTCACTGTTCATTTTGCATGGCCAGATTGTTTTCGTTGTCCCGACACGCAAACACCAGACGTAATAATTTTTCCTCTATTTGCGCGAATAAATTCTACAATTCTCTTGAAATAGAGGTTACAGCATCTTACAAGACAAAGGCATTATGCCACTCAAAACTGAAAATAAAATTTAAGATTTGACCTGAAAAAGTAACATCACCGAAACTTCTATACATAAATTTATTACCTGGAATGATGAATTTGATTTCCTCACTGCAAATGTTGAACTGTCTTCTATGGATCATCATCATAAGCAGAACTACTGGGGCAAAATGACGGAAGTCTTATGATGGGATTTCCCCGAAACTGGAACTGGGAAATTACCGATTTAGTGTTGGGCGAGCACAATGAAGTGTTTCCGGTTAAGTCCACTTGTTCCAGTTTACCTGAAGATACCAAAAAAAGGGAAGAGAAGAAGGCACTATTTCTTATTATAGGGAGAATTACATAAATGACTGCTCAAAAGGCTCCAAAGAAAATAAAAAGGAATAGAAAGATTTACATACATTAGGGTTGTCAAAACGTCTCGTTGTTCGCGAACAGCAATATATATATCTTTGATGAGTAGTATTTATAAAAAAATTTAATCGATTACATGGCTACAAAGTCAAGGCTAAGTATTAATTAAAAAAATAGAATAAAAATTATTAAATTAGATTCAAATGATGTTTTAAATCTTGTCCCAATCTTAGGGTTGTCAAAACAACTCTTTGTTCGTGAATGACTCATGTTCGACTCGCTAAGACAACGCGCTGCCCCCTCAAAACTGAACTCTGATCAGACTTAATAAGCTTATCATAATGTTGGATGAAAATTGCACAAAACAAATGTTCATTATGATAGAAATATATAACGAAGATTTATATACATACCACTTAATTCCTATGTATTTACACATCTAACACCTCAACTTCAATTTTTACACATATATACCACCTTTTATATGCATGGTCAGTGTTTAATGTGACCAAACCATTTAAGAAGACTCTCTAATCTTGTCTGCCACTAGAGCAACACCAACCCTTTCAAGGATATATTCATTTCGTATTTTGCCTCGAAGTGTAAAGCCACTCATCCACCCAAGCATTCTCATCTCAGTAACAACTTAGTTTTATGCTTCTCTTTTATAGGCAACATTCTACACCATAAAGCATATTGCAATTTTCACCACCATCTTATAAAATTTTTCTTTTTAAGTCTAAACAATACTTTTCGATCACACAATAAACCTAATTCTATTAATAGCAACCCCAACTATATCACCATCACTTTGAATAATAGACCTAGAAATATCTAAAATGTTCAATCCTTTTAATAATCAGATCACTCATTGTTACATCTCTGCCACTAGATCTATTATATTAAAATTACATTCAATCTATTCAATTTTAGATCTACTCAAATGAAGGCCTTTAGATTCTAAAGTAGCCTTCATAATTCAAAGTTTTTTCTGAACTCTTTCTTCAGTCTTTATCCATAAGAAGGATATCATCAGCGAAAAGCATACATTAAGGCACATCCTCCTGTAAATATCCAGTAAGAACATCCATAACTAAAGCAAAAGATATGGGCTTAAATCTAATCCCCTGATGTAATTCAACTGAAATAGGAAAATACTTAGTTAATCCTCATTTTGTTTAGAACACAAGTAACAACTCTAGCATATGTATCTTTAATGACTTGAGTATAAGTCCTATAAACACATTTATTTTCTAGAACTCTCGAAAGAATTTCTCTTGGAACCTTATCGTAAGCTTTTCCTAAATCAATAAAAATCATATGTAGATCTTCCTTACTCTATGTACTCTTCCACCAAACCTCTCAATAAATGTATAGCTTTCATAGTAGACTTGCCCACCACCAACTATTTTTATTCGTAAAAAATTTTCTTTTGATTCTCCAAATAGATCTTTTGTCACTTGTTTAATATTATTTGTTACTTTATCCCACATATAATTAGCTTCTTCATGAGCATCCCAAATACTAAAATCTTGAAATTTGCTCATAAAAATATTTTTATTTGTGTCTTTTTAGTGCGTCAATCTAATTATATGACGATATTTTATTGTAATTTTTATCTTCCAACTCTTCATCTTAAAAATCAAAACTAATAATCAATATTGAGTAATTAAATTTTCATTTGGAATAACGTTATAATCTTTATATTATCAACGATTTCTTTTTCTCATAAGAAAATAATCAAGTTGTGTTTTATTAAGATTCATTCTTATAAGTAAAAGTAGTCTCCACTACGAACTATGTTAATAATTATTAAAAAAATTGAGTACTTCATTGAAATTTTTATAAACTCAGAGATTAAAATGATCCCTTGCAAAGAGTTAGAAGGACCATTTTGACAATTCTCTCTTTTAAAATTAGAAAAACATTATCAATCGGTATGCATGTTAACAGACTAGTAGTGCGGACCAGCACAGTAGTGCAGTCCTATCTCATTCTACCAAGCAACGGTAAAACATGCTTCCATCAAACAATTGCATCAGCATCTAAAAACATAAAAGGTATGAAAATTTTGACTGGTACCATTAGATTTCCTCAGTGCATCTTCTATGATTGACAATGACTCGGGAGGTAATAAATTAGATCCTGCATTGATTGATACAATATCTGGAGCTTTGGAGATAATATGATAAATGAAATGGGCCGCTTCAATCCCACCACGATTTTTGCTGCAAACTATTTATTTCAACTCCCAAGTTTTTATAAATATAAAATCAAAGGTTAGCAACAAGCCATTCATAAAAGCAAGAGGACAATAATCACAACCTTATGTTAAGATGAGCAAGCGCCGTCTCTTCCAGCATTTTTCTTTCAAGCTCCTGGAAACCAAAGGATCCCAATCCAATACCTTCAATGTTAAGATTTCTTATCCGAGAAGAGCCCAAAAAGTTGGCCAGAGGTGCTGCCACAGAACTGAAAATTCAATAATTAAAACTAGCTTCTTCTTACATGATTAAAATAGGAAGATTTACATACATACCACCCAATTCTTATGTATTTATATATGTAACTCTGCATAGGGAAGGTTATTTATTACATTTATAATAAATAGTTTATTTATTACATTTATAATATTTCATATCACATCAAGAAAATCATTATCTTAACTTTTAAAAAATGAAATACACATTTTCATGCATAGGGAAGGTTATTTAAAAATCAGTGTTATCAAAATGCAAAGCATAGTACAATGTGCAAGACTTTATTTTTGCTTCAAAGCACATAGCACGGAGAGAAGCGGTGCTTTTATAAACCAAGTGCTAATTGCATATATAAAACAATTAATGCATAAAAATATTCATGAAATGTATAAGTCAAAAAATGATATAAAATCGAAAAGAATGTTGTACAATATTTAAAGGCAAAAATTGAGGGTGAATCTACAAATTAAAAATACAAATAATTCATAATAGTTTGTTGTAATAATTAAAAATGTAAAAATTACAAAAAAACATATAAATTAACTCTGAGGCTTCAAAGCGCGCTTCAACAAAGCAAAGCGTTCGTCACTCGTTTCACTTCATTTTGCTCGTGAAGTGTGCTTTTAAAAATATTGGTAAAAATTGAAGTTTATGAGTTAGATATATAAATACAAAAGAACTGATTGATATTTATGTCAATCTTCCAAATAATAATAGTACTTTTATTAGAAAAAAATGCACCTCCCAAGATCATTTTCTGCGAAAGATAGTGTCTTCAGCTGACATTTCTTCAGGCTTTGCAAAAGTTCAGACACTCCTGCCCCTGAAATATCACAGTTCTCCAACCAAATTTCGGAAACTTGAGAAGTCTCTTTAAAAGCTTTGACAAAAAAAGGGATTAATGTCCTGCAGAAAAAGACCGAGAAAAACAATTGTCATATTATACAGATATAATTGCGTGCTTGACTTCGTTCATTGAACATCGTAAAAATGATCCACTTTTTACAAATGTATGCATGACATCCTGATGCAACAGGGGAGAAGTCCATTGATCTATAAATACCTGATCCCTTCATCCCCAATCGGATTGTCACTCAATTCTAATCTCAGTAACTTCGGCATGCTAACCAACATGTGCTGGAGGCCCACCATATCATTATTGTGTAAATTGCTACCCCTGAAACCGCAACAGAATAATATTAAATAAAGAATGGGCTCTTCATTGAGGAAACAATGTACAAGTCAAAATTTCACTGGTGAATTAGGTAATTTGTTGATTGTTTATTTTGAGAAGAAAAGGTTCTGCCTGGTCTGAAGAGAAAAAAACTCAAATAGCATAGGCCAGCACATGAAGCATGATCTAGCCTTCAAAAGGTTTTAAGTTGGAATTTTTAATTTGTTTAATGCAATGTATTATATTAGATTTTTATCTCAATACCGAATCCCGAGCCCCACACCAGACTTAGGCTGATAATGAAGAAATCAGGCCTGGTAAGGCATAGGCCTAGCACGTCTCATTAAGAAGGTCTCGATCTGTTTTATTTATTTTTAGCAAAAACTGATTATGTTCATTTTCTGGGCTTTCAATGATCCTATGTGTTCACTATTGCAGTAGCCTCAAGTCATGTCAAAGCAACCCTCCTGGTCTGCAAATAGGACCAAAGATTGATTAATGCAACAATCAATCATAAAATTTATGTCAAATCTAATGAAATGAAAGAAATTTTGAATTTTGCAAGTGCTTGACCATTCTCCAGAAGTGTGCCATGAACTTAACCTGACTGATGAGGCACGAATTTGCTAACCAAACCCAAAAGTTAGAATAAGACTAATGCTCAGGAATCTTATGAATACTGGTAGGCTGGCTCCTTTAGATTATGACTTGCTTTACTCAGTCTTTTTTATGTCATGAATATATTTCTCTCCAACTCATCATTGAACCATAGATGATTGAGAGCAAAGGCATCATTATAGAGGGGGGCAATGTGAACTTGATCAACCTTTTTAAGAGAGTATGCATGGAAGAGTTTGGCAAGCCCGCCAACAAGCCAACCTGAGTTTTACTTTCCTCCTTTTCAAAAAGTTATTTTTCAACACATAGCTAGAGATGAAAATAGAGTTACACGTAGCCCTTCAAGGGGATTTTACTTTGAAAGATGTAAATAAGCAACATGCTCTCTTTTCTCTTATTTTAGAAGATGCGTCTCAGTTTGTAAAATGCCTAAAGGCATAATTTTGTACACATTTTGTAACTTTTTGATATAGTAATGCAAATGCAACATATAAGGATAAATTTCTCTCAAACTATAGGGTGATCTCAGTTTTCCAAACTGTGGAATGCACTATGTTCTTACTGTAAAAGAAATGACTGAGCTTCTAGACAATCTTTTTCCACAAAATAATATGCATAAACATGCATTGATAAAGACCACTTATTTTTACATATATATACATACAATTGTACATATTCACTATGATTACTTATAAGCGGACTTCAACAATTATTCGCCAAAAAAATAAAGTTGTTGAGTGGTACCTCAAATTGAGTTCAACCAATGACTGAAAGTACGTATTTGATTCTGGAACGGGAGATAAACTTGTGTATCTCCTGCCAATTTTGGAAAGCAAACCTTCGAGCTGTGCAGTAAGATTGCAATTCACATTCATCACCATAAAGCAGTATAGGCATTTACATACATTGCACACAATTCTTATGTATTTACATATCTCGCACTTTAAACTTTTATATTTGCACACATAACTCTCAAATCTTTAATATTACTTAAAAATTACACAATTAGCATTTTTTAAAATGAAATATGCATTTTCATGCATAGATTTAATGCACCAAAGCGCTATGTATGTAAATATGAAAGTTTAGGTGTGAGATACATTAATACATAAGAATTGTCTGCTACGTATGTAAATTTCCCAAAACAGTAATGCAAGGTATTGAAGAAATAGAAACTTATATGAAGATAACAAGCTGCTCACCTCATTTCCCGATAACTCGAGGTTTACTAAACTACTTGACTGAATTAAGGTTTCAATTATGGCCTCAGTGGACTTTAAACCCATGTGGGTATCAGCAAAGCAAACCGAACGAAGTGATCTAACATGATTTAGAAAGCAATGCAATAACGTCACAAACACTGAGATGATGGACATTTCAAATTTTAATATGGCAAGAACTACAAAGTTTAATTCTGCCCTTAAAATTCTAATATGGCATAAACTTTTGCCAGTAATTTGTTTCTGAATTTAAGAAAATGACATGACCTTCAGCCTAGTCTCAACAAAGACAATCTCTCTATAGAAAAGTATCTCAACAAACACGAAAAAATTCAAGCACGGTAAAAAGAATACCACCAAAAAACGGCTAAAGTTATGACAACAATCTGGAAGCAGATCAACAAACTTCCATGTCCCATCAAGTCAGGAAAAAGAGGAAACACAAATTTCCAATGTTACTGAGCCCACAAGAAGCCCACGCACCATTTAATGAAGGCCAGCACCAAGCCAATAAGCATCAAATATCATATCAAGGCAATCTCCAATGCTACTGTTACGCCGGTGCCAAAGGGCAATTTTGTCTTTTGTGTGCCTAAAAGTAATTTTGTCTTTTGTTATTTATTAAGATTTAGTATAATTAAGACTAATATGTTTAGGGTTAGGATTATGCATGAGATTGTGGTTGTGAGTATTAAAGTTAGGATTTGGGAGAGATTTCCTACTTATTAACTTGCAGGATTTGGGAAAGATCGTCTGCCTCTTGAATTATAGGTGCTTATTTTTTATATGTTCGTATGAATTGTTTGGAGTTTTTACAATAAAACATTTGTTTGTTGAAAAGAAACCATCTCATATCGTATTAATTGGTATCAGAGCATTTGGTTGCTGCAAAGCTTATGATCCTACTGAAACCATCCAGTTGTTGCTTCGAACATCGTGCTACTAGTAATTCAAGCTAGTTGGGAAGCAAAAACAAAATAGCGGTGCACGGGAGCGTTGTTTTCGGGTCGAGCTCGCGGTATAGTATGGTTAGATTTTTGGCAATGGGAAGCCACTAATGGGATCAGTGTCCTTCAAGAAGACCTCATATATAGTCGCAATTCGTGGGGAAGCGAGGATGAGATCAGATCACCCTGGGGAAGCCAATGAAGGGATCGCGACGCCTCCTATGCGATACAACGCAATGTGATTTCTAGCTAAGATACGACGAGATCACGTACCTTGGGATACATTTGCGATGAGAGCTAGCTGGGAGGCTACAAACGAGATCGCGTGCAACCTCCCTAAATTGTGACGATGGGATCGTATACCAATTCCAACACAAACACAATTGGAGCTAGCTAGGAAGACCGAAGGGGATTGGGGCATATAGGCGCCGCTCTCATGACCGAATATCAACAAGCAAAGTAAATCAAATTTGGGATTGGGCGTGCCCTAGTCTCGATTCCGGCAATCTGAGAAGCCAAGGACAGGAACACGATTTACAAACTCGCGATGCAGTCACCATTTGGGCTACCTGGGAAAATATCAGCGCATTAGAGTTACCCCTTTGTGATAAAAAATCTTACTGAGAGAAATGATAGCAAGGAAAGTGGACGCTTAGAAGAGAGATTGGAAGAAGTAGAGCAACTTAAATCCGAAATAAAGGAAAGGCTTTCCTCCACTAATAACTGATTCCAGAATCTCGAGGTGATGATAAGGAAGCTAACTGAGATGCAATCCAAGATTCTGCCTGCGGCTCAATTTGCAAACTCTAACTAAGGTTTGGCTGGAGAATGTGTGGCTAGATCAAAAGGGAAAAAAATCGAACGTGAGAAACATGATGAAAAAAGCATCCACCATCAAGAACTCCCCCTAGGACTCCAATGGGGGACATATTAGAGATTTTTTATGAAGAGGGTTGGGTTGAAACAATGATGGGTTATGCAAGGGGTAGGGAAAAACACTGAGAAACCAGAACGGGGCATGTCTATGATCGAAGCAGGAAGTTTCACCCTAGATACATAAGGGGAAACACTAGAGGGTGAGGAAATTGGGGTGGTGATTCTAGGGTTAGGAAGCTGAAGAAGTAAATCTTTAAGGGTGAAAACACGCATGAGTGGGTGCATCAGGTGGAGCAATACTTCGCGGTGAATGGGCGAAATGGGGAGGAGAAGTTCATGATGGCAGTGTTATGTTTGGAGGGGGAAATCCTAGCATGGTTTCAGTGGAGGGTGGGGGTGGCTAGATACACAATCCATTCGTGAGAGGAATTTAAAAATTGCTTTTTGGAACATTTTCAAGTAATTCGAAAAGGAGACCTACACGAGAAATTCTATGCATTGACTCGAGATGGTACTATCATGAAATATAGGGAGATGTTCGAGCTATTTTCAAGACAATTGAGAGAGATTTCTGAAGCATGATTGGATGGGGACTTCACGAAAGGTTTAAAAATTGATATACGGGTATCACTCCAACTATTGAGACTGCAGAGTTTAAGGGAGACGATGGAGCTCACCCAGATGGTGAAAGCAAGAACCAAATGAAGAATAGCGAAAGCGGCAACATGGGAGGATTCCACAAGAGTACCTCAATGACCATGACACTAGGTACCTAGACTGTCATTTCAGAAAGAGGCACTGAAGGAAAGGAATATAGGGGCCCACCAAGGGGCAACTTCAAGCGTGTGAGGCAGAGGTGCAGGACAATAAAACAAATGGATTGTGTTCTTAATGTAATGAGTGCTCCAAGCCATTGATGCAAGGATCGCTAGCTCCAGGCCCTTTTAGTTTGTGAGTGGGAGGAGGCAGATAGTGAGTCAGAGGAAGAAGCGGTAGAAGGAAATAGGATGGGAAAGGTGGTGTCCCTCAACTCAATAATGGTAGTGGCGTTGGTGGCGGTGGTGGTGTTTGGGGAAGGAGGGTGGAGTTTCTCCAAATCACACCATAAAAGTAAGAAAAGATTTTGGAGAAACCAATAGTAGTGTTGGTGGATAGTGAGGCCACGCACAACTTCATCTCAAATCGACTTGTGGACCAATTGGGGTTGAAGTTGGTAGATACGGGAAATTTTGGAAAGATGAAGAAAAATAGGGAAATTTACAGGAGATCGGTGTTGACACTGCAGAGCATAGAGATGGTGGAAGACTTCCTTTCATTGGACTTGGGATGTACTGATATGATTCTGGGAAGTGGCTGCAGATGATCGAAGAGATGAGGGTGGATTGAAAATTCTAGACTATAGAGATTAGAGTGGAGAGAAGGCAAGTAATGCTTCACGGTGACCTTAGGTTATTCAAGACATTGGTGTCAACGAATCCATCGAAGATGGTTGCTATGTTGGAGGGGACACTACCTAAAAACCTGGAAGGGGTTGAAAAAATTTTGGAGACTTACAGGACACTGCCGAAAATTTTGATGAGTGGTAATTTGATTATGTCCTTGGACGAAGAAATTGATGAATGATAACTTTCAGTGAGGGAAAGTGACGATCGAGACTTCTACGAAGTTAAAGAAAGCCATGACGAGTGCACCAGTGCTAACAATGAGATCCATACTAAGCAAGTTTATAAGTAGGAGCCACACAACTTGATCCAACAACAATTTTTGTTCCCCACCTTGAAGAAAAACAGTGTTTTTGGGAGGGAAGTATTGTTACATCGGTGCCTGAGAATAATTTTGTCTTTCGTGTGCTTAAGCGCAATTTAGTCTTTTGTTATTTATTATTATTTAGTATAAATAGGGCTAATATGTTTAAGGTGTTAGGGTTATGTTGATTTGTCGTTGTGAGTCTTAGGTTTAGGGTTTGGAAAGATTTCCTACATCCTGAACTGTAAGATTTGCCTACCACTCGAATTGTAGGTGCTTATCTTCTATGTATTCGTGTAAGTTTTTAGTGTTCTTACAATAAAATATTTGTTTGTTGGAAAAAATCATCTCGCATCTTACTAGCTACCAAGCTCACCAATCAAAATCTCGAGCTAGTTACAGCTTGACAAATTCAATTGAATAATTGTCTTAGTGTTTTTTTTTTTCAAATCAAATTGAAAAAAGAAAATGATAAAACTGTTGGTTAGATCATCTCTAAGCATTTTTTGACGATGCCCAATACCTACGAATCACAACCATGATACACCACAATGAATGATTCAATAAAACTAGATAGAAAAAAAAACAACTTGCCACGAACGAGTAAATATCAACCTTGAAAAGAACATCTTTGACATATAAACTTCCACTCAAATTTGTTAGAAAAGCCTGATGAGACAACCGATGATTGCATATAATATCCCCAAGGCATTATGGCTTGAAGCCCTCTGATGTCGAAAATTGGGTCCACAGGTAGACTCAAGATGATAGAACAATAGCATCTTGATTAGCCAACATATTCATTTCTATCCCCACAACAATTCCAATTCAATCAAATTCAAAACTAAAAACAAAATATGAAACTAAAATATGAATATATAACCATCTCAATCGAGAAGAGTTTTAGCAATCAAGTGGGATAACTAACTGCGAAGCCTTACATACATGAGAAGCCTTGACACCATGTCAAATTAAACCTTAAACAAATATTAGCAAAATTTGCTCAGAAATAAAAGGCATAAATATAGGTATATAAGAAAATCTGAATTCTTAAAAAGAACATCACATTTAAACAAACAGAAAGAGAATCAAAAGACCGGTTCACATCTTAGCATTTGATGTTATCAGATGTAGCAAGAAACAAACCTTCCTGATGATAGAAAGAATGAGAGCCCGTTAGGAATAGAAGATGAGTTACTTCCAATAATAATTGAAGATTTAATAGAAAAATACTGGATGCCATGATTATGAATTTCCTTGCTATAAACAGAGCTGCAAATCATGTCCACATCCGAGGGAGAAAGTCTACAATAAACTAGTTCAATAGATACCAAAGTCAAACTATTTTGTTTAATAAGCTTGCACACTTCATCAACCTGCACAAAAATACAATAAAACATGAAAAAAAAGGAGCCTTAAAAGCAACAAGTAATAGTGGAGAAATTTTCAAAACATAATTTAAAAAGATGGTTGACAAAAAGTAAGGTACAAAAATTAGTTTTAATCTTTTAATTTACTCATTTAATCAGAGGCAAAACCAGCCTCTTTTTTCAGGAGGTGCATTTTATTATAAAAATAAATTAACTAAAAAAATAGCACATAATTCAGTATTAAAACGTGAATTTTATTATAATTAATAAATTAAATAATATTGAACGTCGTGATAAAACTGGCAAAGCTCAAGTGGCGAATAAAATTAGATAGAGTCGACTTAGATGGTTTGGTCATATTAAACATCGACCATCTGATGATCCAGTCAGGGGAGCAGATGTTTTAGACTTGACTTATGTTGAAAAAGGCAGAGATAGACCAAGAAAAACTTGGGCATACTTTATAAAATAATGATATTAATTTATTAGAATTAAATGAAAATATGACACTCAATTGGACGCAATGGAGAAAAAAAGATTCATGTAGTTGGCCCCACTTAGTGGGATAAAGGCTTGTTGTTATTGTTATTGTAAATTAAATAATATTGAAAGCATTTCAATCTTTTTTACATTTTTCTATAAATTACAAAAAATAATTCCATATTTTAATGTGAATATTCATATTAAACATAATTTCATGAACGTCTAAGTTCAACGTGAATCTCAAACTAAATACAAAAAAATTATTAAAAAAACCTAATAAATAAATGTATGCAAAATAAATTTACACATTAAGACTAACACTAATTTTATCTCATATTTTTATTTTCTATTTTGGTTAGCTCGACTTAAGAAAAAAAGGTTTAAAAGTTTTTAATACAAATATATATTAAGAGTATACAAAAATGAATTTAATTTTCTTTTTTAAATATAGGGGTATTTACATACATACCACCCAATTCTTAGGTATATACACATATAACATATAAACTTTATTTTTTACATTTATACCACCCAAATTATTCGTACCATATCAAAAGTATCATTATTTAATTATTTTTATATCACTATTTTAATTTTAAAAAAGTGAAATACATTTATTTATGTATAAGTAAGGTGATATTTATGTAAAATTTAAAGTTTAGGTATTAGATATGTAAATACATAGGAATTGAGTGGTATGTGTGTAAATTTCGCAACAGCTGTGAAAGCTCATGGTGGAATTTAATCCCACGTCGTTTTGTAGAAAGATATTTTTGTCGCTTAAATTAAGAAATATCTGACCTTCGGTATTAGCAAAACATGTGGCTGTGCTTTCTATTGACTATCATTAAGATAGTTTAAAGAAATAATAATTTTTTTTTAAATAGAAATTAAAATTTTAGATCAGTAATTTTAACATTTATGCATACTTAATTACCATCTAAGAGCATTGATAATCTAGGTTCTTATAAATTCAATATTTAATAAATTAAAAGGTTAAATTATAGAATTTATTCGCAGGTCAACTGGGACAACTAATATAGTTCAGAGGGGGGAAAGGATGATTAAATTATATCTCTTCTAATAAATATTTAAATTTCAGGAGAAATATTTAAATTTCAGGAGGGGCAATTACCCATCTAATAGCATTTAGGTCCGCCCATGTCTTTGATGTACTTCCACTGTTAATATGCACTATGATAGGATGTTCTTTCTTCAATTTGGATATTGGAGAAGCTAAATTATGGAAGCTAGAAAAAAACATAAGACTTACTTTATTTCCAGATAGTATTCTCCGAAACACTAGAGCTTCCAACTTGCTTGTCCTCAACAAATCCTATAGCATTTCACGTAAACTGTCTTAGCATTTATGCCCAGTAAAATGGCAGTTTTCACATATAAAGATCTAATTTCAAAGCAAAATTCAAATGCAAATTTCACCATCACCATCAGATTTATCCCAACAACCATACAGTAAGAAAACCACTTTTCACCTAATTACCTATCTAAAAGTGTGAGAAAATAAGACCAAACATACAATACAAATCTTTATGCACTAGGATTTAATAGCGATAATGATAATTTTATGATACCTTCAGGAGGGACGAAAGAGTTCCCAATGTAAGTCAATAGCAGTAATGCCGGATTCCTCCTAGGCTCTATGGATCTTTGATAATGTAGCCTTTAGGGTAAGTTTATACTTTATGCTACATGTTTACAGCTCATTATCTCATGATTGCAGGTAAGCCTAGACAACCTTATTTGACATATTGTAATGCTAAAGTAAAGTAAAAGGTTGTAGAAAAGAAGAATTTGATATAATCAAAACAATGTGTAAATAATAAGAGCATTAAAGGCATAATATATTGAGAAAAATTACATTTATAATTCTATTGTTGTTTCTTTTTACAGTTATAGTAATATAAATCCTTATATAATCAAAATTTAATTATGAATTTTATAATAATGTACTAGTCAATTATGCTCAAGATTGAAATTATGTCTAGTCTTAATTAACATGTATGTTATTTACTGTTCTTAAAATTTTGAATTTTGTATTAGATTTATTTATTGTATCGAGTCGCATATTTTTATAGGAAAAATGAAAAACAAAGGTTGAGACTGAATAATAATTATGTTCATTTATGTCATATTTTATTTTACAACAATTGTAACATAGAGGAGCATTGAGGAAATGTATCAAATGAAGTTTGTATGTTGTATAAATGAAATGTTTTTGATTGATTCTACTTAATTTGAATAAATTTTGTTCTAATAGAATTGTATAAATTAGAATAATATGTTAAATGTTATTCTGGGTGCTTATAGGTGACTGAATTTATCTTCTACTCTATACTGGTAAGTAGGATAACATAACAGGTGTCAGGTATATTCAATTGGCTGAATCAAACTCGCCTCTATTACATTCCACTTCAGTTTGGGGAGGCGTCAATGTGGGCATCCCTAATGATTTCGAAGGGGCATAAGGGATGAAATTCACCATAAGGGGCATAAGGGATGAAATTCACCATAGTTAATGCTTTTAGGTTATAGTTGATGAATAATCCTGAAACTACAAGTAAATAAAAAAGTCCAAACATGTGTTGCACCAACATTACATTATCTTCAAATGGGCTTGTTGAGAGTAAATCTGTGTATTTTCTATTAATTTTGTGCTAAGATACTTCATAGTTTGCAAATAGTCAAAGAGATCTAAATAAAATGTGCTCAAATTGGTTTTTTTCTGAAAAAAGTGAAGATATGTTGGTATCAATAAAGCATGTGTATTTTCAACCAAAACCACAGAATATGTATATTTTCCAACTGCTCTCATAAATTTTCAAACAGTAGCAATGAAGTTATGGTGACGAATAAATGTGTGACATATAATATAAGGTATCTTCTGGATAGAACCTAACCTGAGACAATTTCATAGATCAACTAGGACCAGTGCATCAAGCAAGACTTTCATCTTCTCATTTCATGCTATATTAATGTAAAAGTAAACTAAATTCATGAATAAAACTCTCTTCTTTGGATGTAATGTCCTTCATTTCCAAGTGTAAACCCGAAGGAACAGTTCAAAATTGTGCTCAACCGATATGTTCTTCTCTTTTCATTTTGTTTAAACCACTATCACTTGTTCTTTATCTCATTTTGCATGTGTAAAACAATAATCATCCAACCAACAATCAAGATATGGGGTTGGTAACAAAGAAACAAAAAGATTTAAATGATCTTCTCATGTCTGTTAATATTTTACAATTAGGTTTTCAAAAGCTTTAAATTCCTATGGATTCCCTGATTTGTATCTGAACAAAATTTATAGTTACAATTGCATTTAGTTCCCTTACATGAATGCTTCCAGCTTTTATATGTAGTTTATAGCAAGCATAAAAAATCTAAAAACTTTCAGTTCATAGTTCATCCATATTTTACTTATTTTCTTCATTCTATCACATATTAAGAGAAACTAGGGTTTTTTTTGCATCTTTTGCATAAAATGTTGATACCTTTTTAAATTGCCATTTTCCTCCATGATAAAATCAAAACGTGGAAACGCCAAAAAAACCATAGAAAACGAGCAAGTCTTCCTATCTTTTAAGAACTCAAATCCCCAGGTGTTCGAACAAAAGCAACAGCCAAAATCCCCAGATTGGTCCTGAAGGCTAAGCGGTATATGACCAATACTACTGACCCCACATTGTTATTGACAACAAAGGATTAATAAAATAGGTCGATTGCATTCTTAGGGGGTGTTTGGTACACAATATTAACAAGATTTACATTAGTATTTACCATAAATTCTACCTAATGCAAAAAAAAAAGATCTTAAAGCCCACCATCTCTTAAATCCAATATTTCTTCTGTTTTGACGTAAATCCTAAATTTATTAAATCTGGTTATTAGGTGGATTTAGCATAATTAAATGAGGAAGAAAATACATCCGCAGGTTTTGCATCTCTCGTCGCCAAATACTTCAAAAGGATTTAGATGGATTTAATCTTAATCGAACCAAACACTTTTCTGAATTTAACTTTTTTGGATTTGATAAAACTGGATTTACACGATTTACTCAACACTATTTAAGTTAAATCCTGGATGTAGCCAAACACCCCCTTAGATAGTTACAAATTCTGTATGGAATAAAGTAAGATTAGGAAGACACATTACATCTATTAAAATAGAACATTTATGCAAACAATTTACTTGATGTTATCTGCTCTACTTACAAAAATTTCTTCATGACAAATAACGTTGTGAAGTCTCACATATCTGCAATTTAAGAAAAACAAATTGATGAGACAGAAAACATTGACCATGTGAACGATAAACTTGGACCCATTAAATAAATAAATAAAATCATGAAATCATTTTTGTTTTTACGCAACAAATTTCAGCCGACTCTGTAAATCCTTCTTCAGTCCTCGCACCTGTTAAGTGGTTCATGTGTCGTTAAGTATAAGTTATGCAAATCTTTTAGTAAAATATTTAACAACATTATATATTGGTTTTTGTTTCCTTCTGAATCATTTAAATTTGTTGCTTTCTATTGATATTATTTTCTCTCTACAATTCAAGTTGTTGAATTTTGTTCCAATCATAACAAAGAACTTAAGGCACACAGATCAAGGCTTTATACCGTTAGATCAATTTACTTATGACCCTCAGATAGCAAAGAACTTAAGACACACGGATCGCGACTCTAAATCATCATATCTATCTCACTGTGAACCTCAAATTGTAATTAGTGTGCTTTCCAAAAGGATCGTCGAGCCCAATTTATGTTTCCCTCTTTTAGTTTTATTCATATTTTGTAATGCATATAGGAGATGTGTGTGTGTGAGTGTTTGTGTATGTGTGTCCTCTTGTAAAAAAAAAAAAAGTAAAGATTCTTAAGAGTTTCTTACGTTATTTTATTTTCTATGTGGAATCAGAGCAAGATTAGGGTGTTCCTACCAACCTGTACTCTTATTCTCTAAGATTAAGATTTTCACTTCTAACATTTATTCTTATTCTCTAAGGTTAATATTTCCACTTCCAACCTTTATTCTTGTTCTTTAAGATTAGGATTGTCACTTCCAACCTTTGTTCTTATTTTATAAGGTTAAGGTTTCCACTTCCAACTTTATCCCGCTTGTCGAATTCTCCCTCTCTATTCACTATGTTAGGTTCTTAGACTTCCCCTCAAAATAGTCGACCATAATTGATGATGAAAATTAAACCAAAGGAGAACTCCAGCTATTTCAAACATCTTATGAGTTAACAAGAAAAATCATCTTAAATTATCCCAAATCGTGAAGACATTTATCTTGTGAATCTACCTCCAGAGCACAAAGACCCAAAGTTGTTACATTGAGAAGAAATTAATTCCATGATCATGACATGGTTGCAGAACACCATGTTACTGAAAATCACTGGATTTTTAATGGTTCCCTCCCAACAGAAATGTGTTATGACCTACCAAAGAAACCAAGATGAAAGAGTGCAAGCCGTGTGAAATTTCAACTAAACCAGGACAAAAAGTAGACTTTGATGAGATAATTGATGTAGATATAGAAGAACATCAAAGGAATTATCTGGTCGACATATTCACCAAAAGAATTCTATAGCACAATATTTAAAAAAATCATAAGCAAACTTAAAATGGTAGATCTCTACCATCCAGTTTGAGAGGGAGTGTTAAATTCTACTCCAATCATAGCAAAGCAGTTAAGGCAAATGAATCAAGGCTTTTTACTGTTTAATCTATTTGCTTATGATCCTCGAATAATAAAAAACTTAAGATACATGAATCGAGGCTCTATACCATTAGATCTATCTCTCTATTACCCTCAAAGTGTAATTTGTGTGCTTTCCTAAAGAATCATTGACCTTAATTTATGTTTCCCTCTTTTTTTGGTTTTATTCCTATTTTATAATGCTTATATAAGATATTTTCTACACAAGCCAAAAAACTTCACATTATTTCATAAGTTTAATGAATAATGTAGCGCTTATCCTCTTGTATAAAGAAAAGTGAAGATTCTTGAAAGTTTCTTCCATTGTTTTATTTTCTACAAAAGCCAATAAAACTTCAAGTTAAATTTTCATAACCACTGAAAATAGTGCTTCACACATATGCTCTCCAATATTAATTATTTCAAAATAAAAAAATTCACCCTTTATAACAGTCAAGCTCAACAACATTGATAGCTATTTAAATGTATTCTATAAAAATGTGACAAAATGGTATAATCAGAGCAATTAACGCAGAAACATCCCAGGTTAACACCTCTTGACAAAAATAGCATAATTAATTGCACATGATGAAAACAAAAACAAAAAAGGAAAAGCAAATCAACTAAGAGAAAATAACCATGCTATGTTAAGGAAAATTCAAAAATATCTTGCAAGCTCCCTAACATGAAATATGCACCAAGCCAATCAAAATTAAATGTTCTGAAAACAAATCTTTTAATAAAATACAATAAGGTTGGCTTGTCTACATGGAGAATATGCAATGGTGAGATAATAATTCTTAGTAAAGGCTGAATGACTATTATATGCAATAGGCTATATGTTGTGAAGTCCTACATCCCCAAAGAAAAATGTCAACCTTATGTCTTAACAAAGCAAGCAAGAGAATGTTATTTGGATTATGTTAATGGTGAAATTAAATTTACAAGAAACTATACAGTTATCTAATGATGACTATTCACATTAGATTAGTTGAGGTTGAAAAAACCATTCAAAAAGAAAAACTAAACTACACATCTAGCAAGTAAGAAAATGCTACATGAACTTTGTTAACGGTGAAATTAAATGCACAAGTTAAGATATTCTAAAGGTATCTAACAATCATAAAATGAAAGAAGAAATACACTAATCAAAACTCAATTTCAAGATCTGATAAATTATGAAGATTCAATGCTAATGAACAAATTCAAAAAGAAGAATGAATTCCCTTTACATACAAGTGTCAAATAATCCCCTGACTATTTATATAGGGTCAATTTAGTCTCAAAGTTCATAAAAGAGCTGACTAAGTCCCCATACTCTTTTAATGTGCCGGTGATTAAATAGTCCTCATTGGGATCGATTTCAGCCCATATTAAAAGAGTCGTGGATTAGATTGACACTTCTATGAACTCTAAGACTAAAATGAACCCCTACAAAGAGTCAAGGACAATTTTTAACACTACTCTCCTTTACAAACGCTCAATTTGACTGAAATGAAAATAATCAAAGAAACGAGATCTTCATTTTAGTTAGGGCTGCAGTTGTGGTAAATCCTAAAGCTAACCAAACCGGTGTGCCTTGTGCATCCCAAGAACTTGTAATGTGCAGGCCATTTTGTAATCACTATGTGTTCTTAGAGCTGGTAAATCAACCTAAACCTTCCAAAATATTAAAGCTCGTGAGGGAAATCAAATGAACTATACCGTTTACTAAATCAAATCAAGAATAATGGAGAAATGATAATGAGGTGAATACCTAGCATAGCACCCAAACTTGATGCAGTGGTATGATAAACTTGAACAGCTGCACGCCCCAATTCCAACATGACCAATCAAACTCATGATGTTATCTACACCAACCAAAGGATATTAAAAACATTATTATTAATAGATATGGCAGGTCCTGAAAACTTCGGTACTTAATAAATTAAAAAAAAAGATATACTCAGGTGGTCCTAAAAGTTCATTCAACTCAAGTTAAAAGCTCAATTATTGTCACAAGATTCTTAAATAATAAAATTATTATTATTATCATCGGTATATCACCCAAAAAAATGCATCTGATTAAGCATGCATGTTGACACACATAATTGACTTAGCAATTTTTTAAATCAACTTTGGGATTATCTGAGCTCTATTTTCAACAAACCTATGTTTCAAATGTGCACCTTGATGAAATGAATCTCACATAGATTACTCAATTCTTAAATTCTTAATACATTTAAATGCGTGAAAAATGTTTTATAACAAAGGGGGATAAATATGGACCGTTCGATAGGATGTTCTTTTTTTGGTAGAAGTGAAAGAAATTTTCACCTTTAAAAATTTATAAAGAGATTGGGATGGGACCACGAGGATGATTATAAATGTGAGAGTTCGAAGCTCTGCCACCACCCAATACCTAATGCTTGTCATCACCACCTAGCTTGATGGTCACAAATGATGACATGCTTAACACATCATAGATAGCAACATTGACACTCTTTGACAACGACAATGAAGATGTTAACATGGCCAACAAGTCAAATGTTTGTTATTGACATCAATATCAACACCCCATCATTAACACTAATGTTGTCCAATCATTGATAGCAATGCCAAAGCCCACAACAATAACCAACACCAACAACCACTATCGACACCAATGCTAAAACTTATACCACTATCGACACCAATGCTAAAACTTATTATTGACAATAACACCATTGCTCGTCATCGACAGCAACACTAATGTCAACACCAACGCCAGTCATTGACACTAATATTGATGCCCATTATTAAAACTAATGCCAACAATCACATCAACACTAACTCTAATGCCCAACATTGACATCAATTTAGGCACCTATCGACACAAACAAATCAAACATTCGTCATCGATGCCAATGTCGACGGTCATAATTAACAAAAAATGATTTGGCCTTCTTAATTGTTGGTCTATTTTTATAAGTAGAATAACTGAGTATCCATAATCTTTGGATAAAATTTGCAAGGCTTCAAACACCTTCCACTTAAAATGTCTCATCTTTTGTATAAGCTGTTATCAATTTATTTACTAGGGTAACCTAGAGGCTGAAGCAAGCCGGATGAACCTGCTAGCTGAGGGGGGTTGTTCAGAGTCCTTGCTGGCCGAAAGACATTTAGAAGGGGCGGAACTTGTCGCCAGCCCCTTCCTCCTTTACTTTTCTGTTCCCCGCCTGACCCCTTTCCTTTTCTATTCTCCACCGGATAGAAGTCTATTTATATGCTTGTTTGTTGCAACTAGGGTCATGTCTTTGTGTGTTTCTTTTTCAAATTTCTAAGTGAAGTCATTTTCCCCTTGTTAGAGCTGTATCTGACAACAGGTGGTGCTCTTGCTATATCCTACTCCAAAGTGGTGTTGTATCCTCTTTGAATCCTTCCCTCTTCTCTCTCCTTATCCCCTTGACCCGCAGGCCTGCTCCAACAGTCCACTGTTTACCCTTCCCGCCCCTTTCCCTCCCTCGCCAGCCGCAC